CTAATCAATCCGCATCAACAGCAATTCACCTCTCAAACTGGCAGGAAGGAAAACGACAAGCTAATTTTCGAGAGGAACTTACGAAAACAAGGTCAGGTAAAACATTCACTTGCGGTCCAAACAATCATCACCATCACCATCATCATCATCATCATCATAGTTATCATCATGTGCGCGGGAAAAGAAAAAAAAAAGGGCAAGCCATCCGTACAGTGCCCCATCTCTGATCGCGCAAATTATTGTTATTACTGGGCGTCGCTCCACTGCACACCATTCTAGATCTATCAAGAGGTGTGGTTATGGTCCCGGTACATTCAAAATGTCCCATCAGTACAAATGAGCATCTGGTCCGGACATCGGTCCAGATGCATTTAGAATGTTGTTGAGTAGTGATACGAGGCCCACTATGTGCGATGGTTGCAGAGTTCATCTATCCTCCACACTTCACCTATTCCTCCTCTTATGGTTTATGGTTCTGCCGCCCCCCCCCCCCCCCCCCCCTCTCCTCCTTCCTTCAACCACCTTACCCCTTTTTGCACTCTATAATCAAACGCCTGATCGCGATCGCGATGCCTTGCAGCTTTCGATTTGATGGATTGTATGACCGATACATTGCACGATGGCGGCGGTGGCCTGATCACCCCGCACAGTCAAAATAAATGTTTAATTGACTAATTAATTTGATTGATTGCCAATCAAATAGTGCTTAAATCCGCGATTTACCAAAAAAGGAGCTGACGGTACACGTGACTCTCAGAAGCGTACCAACGGAACTATTAAACCCAAAAAAAAAAAAAAAAAAAAAAAAGACTACACAATGAACAACCGCCGAGGAAGTAAAAGACCCTCTAGGCGATATTGGGTAAGAACGAATTTTCCTCTCGGACACAAATACCTCTCCGATTTTGCGGTAGGACAGAATTTTCCTCTCTAACACAAAAATACCTTTCCGACTGTTGTTGAGTGGGTGCAGTGATCGGTAATCATTAGGTCAGGGTTTCCATCGGAAGAGGAGACAGCGCGCAAAAGATAGAACACACAACTGCCGCGGATGAAAATTTCTCAAAACATAAGCAAGGGGGGGGGGGGGGGGGGGGGGGGGGGGAGGGAGGGGAAAAAAGGGGAGGAGAAAGGAGGGAGGGGAGGGGGGGGGGGGGGGGAGGGGGGGGGGGGGGGGGGGGGGGGGGGGGGGGGGGGGGGGGGGGGGGGGGGGGGGGGGGGGGGGGGGGGGGGGGGGGGGGGTGGAACGAGAGGGGGGGGGGGCGTGCGGAGGCGGGGCCGGGGGCGGGGCCACAATTACCAAGGCGTCGACAGCGAAGACAGGGAATGGCAACAGAATAAAGAAGTGTAGGAAACAGGGGCGGGGGAAGAGCGAGTAAAGAGGAGTGGAAGGAGGGGGGGAGAGGAGAGGGGAAATCAGGGAGAGGCAGAGGAATGAAAAATGACAAGGCAAGGAAATCGACATCGGCAGAAGGCCGATCGGCGATCGATTGACATGAGAGGGGATCAGAAAAACGCCCTAACGATGACACGTGGCAGCGACACGATCAGCCAAAGCTGACTCAGTGAGTGAAAAAGGAAATCGCGTAAACTGCACAAAAGCAGAGGAAAGCACATAATTTTTATATTTATTTCATTTTATTTTATTTTTTTCCTACGCTATATTCTTCTCTAAAATTCTGTCAGCTTCACCTTTCACTACCTACCTACCCACTCCTCCTCCTAAGGCTAATAATATACAGGGAACCCCTGCAAGCATACCTACCTCGCAATGAAGGGATTGCATGTTTCCCCCCTGTTACCCTAACAGGGGTAGTCAGGCAGTACCGGGGGGGGGGGGGGCTAGCACAAAAAAAAGCACATACTAATTTGACGTGCATAAACCTAGAAGAACCCAGTTAATTACTTTTAATAAATATAAATAAATATGCTTACACTGAATTTCTACTGCTAGGATTGTGAAGTAGGGTCATCGACAGATGGGTGATCGTAAAATTGAGAGAAGAAAATAGCTGGGAGAACAAAAAGAAAAAACAAAGAGGAGATGGATAAATCCTTTCTTTCTTTTTTTAATTATATCACAAACAAAAACAAACAGAAAGCACGAGAAATAGGCTAAGGGCCTCCCTCCACCACTCAGCTAATGTGCAACATGAGAATGAATCTCCCGCTAGAACATGGCAAGATGCACCCCCATATTAGTATTTTGTCTTTTCTGCATGTCTTGAGTGGTGCAGCGGGGCCCTAACATCTCTCTCAGTGCATACATGTCAACGGAAATACGCGAACGTGTAAGACTGCACACAAGTAGAGAGAAAGCAAATACTGTACTTTTAGGTGCAAGAAAAAATAAACAATGAAAATCGAAGTACAGAACAAACGTGGAGGGAAGTGCTGTTAGCACCGAAGTGCAGAAAGTTCAAGGTCCACTCCCCGCTAAGGAGCAGAAAAATCACCTGTATACATATATATCGTCACATGAATATCAGAGCGCAAAGGCGAAAAAAACAGAAGAAAACAAGAAAAAAAAATTTTCGTTTTTTTAACTTCTTTCTTACAACTCCCCCTGTTCACCACCTCTTGCCCTGTATACATATATTTCGTCAAATAGAACTGCCGACGGTAAACCGTAGGCAGAGAGGGAGAAGAGGACAACAAACGAGGGGCTGTGACAAACTGTTTCGTCGGAGTTTCACCGACTCATCAGGAGGCTGAAGTTGTAAGCCGTCGGCAGAGAAGGAGAAGAGGACAACAAACGAGGGGCTCTGACAAACTGTTTCGTCGGAGTTTCACCAACTCGTCAGGAGGATGAATATATAGATATATAAGATATTTATTTATATAGATATATATTGACGATATATACATACACATACGTGTATTGCGGTGTATATATATATATATACATATAAACTTGTTTTATTTGTGTTTTGTATTCTATCATTCTAGTACCTATCATTCTAGTACCTTCACACGAAGAGCGCACTAGAAGAGTACTGGAATGATAGAATCAATATATATAAATATGTGATGCAGCTTTAGTGTAGGAATTGTGAATACTGCCCCCGCAGGTAGGCTCTATCTATATTGGAGCTAACGAGTACATAGACTACCGTCTTCCCCCGAAGTGAATGCATGGTCAGTATAGCTATACATCTAGACTGCAAGCCGCCTCGAATAAATACAGCGACAATGACCGTGCGTCCTGTTCTAGGGAATGAAGTAGCAATTAGCTTGATTAACAAACTATACTATCAAATTATTGAAGAACTGTGAGCAGGTGGACGTGAGGACAGTGATAAGTAGAACGAACGTGGTCTGTTCTTTAGCCCAGGTTCATGCTATGTTAGTATGTAAGTCCGCCAGTGGATCAATACTGTTTGTCGCAAAGAACCTGACAAAGTAGCCGACGACGAATCAGCAAACGCAGAACGTTAATAGGCGGCAGCAAGCAATTTTTTTTTTTTTTTTTTTTTTTTTTTTTTTTTTTTTTTTTGGGAACAGCAAGCAATTACAACACCCCTTTCAAATTACAAAAAAAAAAAAAAAGACAGCCCTGAAGGTCGGGACGGCAACAAGCAGTACCGATAGCCCTGAAGGTTTTGCTCCACTGGCGGCCTTGCATACTAATATAGCATGAACTCGGGGTTAAAGAACAGCATACTATTGTCTTCCTCCGAATTGATCGTACGGTCATTACAGCCGTATTTGGCTCACATCTTAGTCCAGATGCAGCGAAAATGACCGGACGTTCTATTCGGAGGAACAAGGTACCGATCGTCCTGAAATTCCGTAGATGAGGCCTGGGGCCCAGGAAAGGAAAAAAAAAAAGGAGATGAAAAAAAAAAGAAAAAAGGAGATGAAGTAAAGACAGCAGGTGAGAGCGAAGACGACACCACGACTGTCACACAAAGAGCACCACACCTGCTTTGAAATTTGCGCGAGCTTTGCCTTCCTCCACTCAGGATCCCACCACCTCTGTTGACCCCCACCCCCACCCCCATCTCCGCCTCCTCTCCCTCCACCTCCTCTGCCTCGACCTCTTCCTCCTCCTCCTCTTCCGCCCCCTCCTCTTCCCCCTCCTCCTCCACCCCCTCGATTATAACCAGCGCTTCGTCCAAACCCTCTCATCGTTGAACAGACCTCGCGGGACCCAACCACTGGCGGACACCTGGCGCCACACCCTGCTCTGGTCCGCAACGCCTTCGCACAGCACAGATCCACGTGGCTGCCGAATGTGTACCACGTGGCTGCCGAATGCGTACCACGTGGCTGCCGAATGTGTACCACGTGGCGACCGAATGTGTACCACGTGGCTGCCGAACGTATCAACTCACTTAGCTGACGCATTCACCAGAGGCCGCTCCACCCCCTGCATTCGGACAGGAAGCGGCAGAATCCGCTTGCGCATGAGATTGGCTTTATATATATTTATTCATCATCATTTGAAAAAGGCGGCGCAAAAAAGGCGATCGCCTAGCTCGGCTTCTTTTTTTTTTCCTTTTTTTTTTTTTTCTTTTTTTTGTGGCGGGCTTCTTCGAGCACTCTCGCGAGGTCGTTTGTCGCTGGAAAGCTCGAGCCTCCCGGGGCCCAGTCCAACTACCCAACGCCTGAATCTGGATGTGTTTGTGGAGAGGTGTGGTTAAGGAAACTCACCTCAATTTCTGCGCACAATCACGTCCAGATTCAGGCGTTGAGGCAACTCAACGCGCCAGCGACTAGGGTAGAACCCCTCGTCTGCATGTGGAAGTATTTTCTCGCGGCACCATGGGTTCAGGACCTCGCGGCACCATGTGCAAAAAACATGAGAACAAATTTTGGGAAAGAAATTTTCGAAATGCCCCTGAAGTTTGCGTTTATTTGCGTCATGCCCCCCTGACGGCCGACTAACTTGTCGCACCCCTCTGACTACGAATGATGTTTCCAGAGAACCCCTGGCGTCGTTTGGGCCTCAAACTTGTTTCATATGCCCCTACCGGTACGAGTACCATATTTTCCGTATGCCCCTACCGGCTGCCTGTTGAGAACGAGCAGTAATGTTTCCCATATGCCCTTACCGGTACCGTCCATCTTTCCAGCAAAGCCCCTGTCGCCGTTGTTGACACTCGCAGTCCATATGAGGGAAGAGGAGGGAAGAGGGGGGAAGAGTAGGGATGACAAGGACTATGACGATGTTGGACGAGGGAGGAACGAGGGAAGAGGAGGGAAGAGGAGTAGGGAGGACCTTCGATTCGTCATCATATACCACCTGTCCAACGAACAAGTAGATGAAAAGATGACAACAACACACACACACACACACACACATGCAAACCCATGCGCGTGCACGGGAGATGACGCCAAGAAGACGGCCATGGTGATGGTTAGGAGGTCGACAATCGAGGAGGAGAAGGAGAGGGAGGGGTGACGTGGAGAAAGTTGGAGGGAGAACGAGGGAAGAGGAGTAGGGAGGACACACACACACACACACACACACACACACACACACACACACACACACACACACATACAGACGCGCGTGCGTGTGCACAGGCGATGACACCAAGAAGAAGGCCATGGTGATGGTTAGGAGGTCGACAATCAAGGAGGAGGAGGAGAGGGAGGGGTGACAAGGAGTTAGTTGGAGGAGGGAGAACGAGGAAAGAGGAGGGAAGAGTAGGAGGGAGGACAAGGACTATGACAATGGACGAGGATAAAGGATGGAGGCTGGAGGAGAAGAGAGGAGAGCAACGAGCATGGATGGAGGAGGAGGGAGGAGGGCGATGAGCATGGGTGGAGGAGGAGGGAGCAGCGATCCATGGCGCGGCGAGCTCGAAGACTGACTGCTGCACCACTTTTCCATGGCGGCGCGTGAAATACCTACCATTTCCGAGTTCGAATTCCTGCCGCCACTGCTGCAAGGGCATCACAGAAAGATGTGTGACCCTCGTGAGGACATTTCAAGGACGGACCGACGAAACGCCACCAGCCGTCCAGTAAGGGCATATCGGCAAGTTACGCCCCATGCTGACAGGGGCCTGCGGAAAATATCAGAGGCCCGAGGGGCATAACAGGGTAAGTCGGCCTTCACAGGGGCACGCCGCAACTAAATGCAAAGTTCAGGGGCATTTCGAAAATTTTTCCATTTTGGAAAGGTACCGCGCCATTTTTCTGTCTTTTTCGCATTTGGTGAGTGGTGTGGCGAGGCCGGCAATCTACAATAGGTAGATTGCACAAACCGAAGGACTGGCAGATTAAAAAAAAAAAAAAAAAAAAAGGACTGGCAGATGTTCCCTCGACCAACAAAAAAAAAAGTAGTACTGGCAGATGTTCCCTCTACCAAAAAAAAAAAAAAAGGCTCATGGGAATGGACCCAAGTCACGGTCCGCAAGGATGGGGAAGCGCATTCAAGCATGTTGGTGTTCGGTTCTGCAAGGCCCGAGATTTGCTGTAAGGAAGCGCATCTTCAATGGAACTACCGATCACGGAACACAAACCATCCACTGTTCAAGCCCAGTCAAGGAGCTGGACTGTCCAGCTGCTGAATAGGGTCTCCCACGTCAGGTGTTTGACCTTGGTGTAAGTCAACCGGGCGGCTTCTTGTCAAAGGGAATATGTTATACCGTTCGAACCCAGACAAGGAGTTGGATTCTATAGGGTGTAGAAGCCCATCCCAAGCAAGCTGTTTGACCCTGGTGCATACCAAGGGACGGTTCAGGCCCAACTTCCCGAAGGGCACTTCACCTCTCATTTTGCGGGGTTGGTCAGCCCCATGCACCACCTAATATGAGGATGCAAAAGAAGGTGGCCATTCGTATATGTACTGGATGCACCAGTGTGCTGATTGGCCCGAAATCCATCCAGGCAAATTGGGCCTCACATGCAACCAGTTATGCCTGTTTTGCCAGAAATCCATCCAGGCAAATAGGGCCTCAGATGCAACCCATTCTGCCTGGCTAGATTTCAAGCGAAACAACACCCAACTTGGCATGCAAGCATGCACGGCACATTTCTGCAAAATGGCTGGGAAATGAACTGCTGGTTTAAGCCCACTAGGAGCCAGGACCGACTAGGTCCGATTTACGCTTGTGCTCTGTGGTTTTCAATCACGTGCGGCCGTCCGTGACAAAGGTCAGTCATTGATCGTTTTGCATATCGACTGTTAGTGTCGATTTTGCGTATCGACTGTTAGTGTCGATTCTCTTTGTTTTCGTGGAGGCAGCTGCCCATCGGCCAGTATAATTTTTTTTTAATTATTTTGTTGGCCACTTTGCGTTGGCACGAAGCTTCAATTCTATGTTTTTTTTAGGAGGGGGAAGGGGGGGCGGGGAGGTTTGAAGCTTCGCGCCTTGCTATTGTGTTTTTGCAGAAATTGAGAATAACCGGATGCCCATGGAGAAAAAATAATTTTCGTGTGCACTGACAGTTGAACGCGCCGTGGCAGACGGCGTCATTGCAGTAAGGTGTCCCGTTGCAAGCGCAGGTTAATGTTGTCCAACTTTAAGTCCAAGTACGTAGGCGCTGTCCGGCCTTAGTCTCCTTTACCAGACACATGCACCCCCCTTCGTGCAGGCCCAAGTACACTTTCTTTTTTTTTTCTTTTTTTTGGGGGGAGGACAATGCTCCAATCTATTCGTGGGGAGCTGCACGTGCTGGGAACCGGGCCCAGCGTCCCATTAAAAACATATTTGAGAACATGTACAGAAGAACTTAAGATACAGGGGCCATTACCCGGCTTAGGCTGAGAATAGGATCATGAGCAATTAGTAGCCTATTAGACAAAGAACCTCATGAGATGGGCTAAAATTCAGTTAAAGTTTGAAAAAGTCTGAAAAACTATGAGAAGTTTCTTTCTGAGCTTTTCCCGTTGCGGTCCCTCTCAGATTTCCCTGATCCCTTCCCACCGCCTGCAAACTCAATAGTCGAGGCTCATTGGTACACAGGTGCCTAAAACCGGTTTGACTGGTTTGATCATTGCTGTTTCTTCAAGTTTTCCCTGCTCATTTTGTACTCGAGTAAGCGATGCAAAAAAAGGGGAGATAGGGAGAGGGAGGAATTAGCATGTAGTAGCAAGATCTGGCGCCGGACTCAAGGTGAAGAGATTCCTYCCTCCCTCTTTCCGCTACCCTGCTTAGTTAATCCCCTGGACTCCAGGGTAATCAATGCGGGCAGGTATCTCCCTTAGCTCCTTGAGTGTTTCAGACATGGCTCAAAATTCAATTGTATAAGGGACGCTGGACCCGTTTTCCAGCAGGTGATGCTCCCCACCAATAGATGGACCCACTCCCCAGGTGCTAGTGGTGTCTGCTATTACCAGCACCACTATCACTGGTAGGGATGTTGATTAAAAAAAAAAAAGAAAAAAAAGAGGAAAGCTCTTTTTAAGCTGTGAAATTAACCATCCTCCCACTTCCCTACAACCCCCTACTCTTCATCATCTTATTGCGGGACTTTCCAAATGAGGAAAGTCCGAATGTGGAAACGCGTGGGAGATCCTGACGCGAGAGAGTTTTTCCGGATAAGTTAGGCTGGATAGGAAGGAACTTCCGTGCGCCATGCGAATATGGCTATGAGTGCGCGCATAATCCACGCTGCCCTCCGTACGTCGGGATATGAGGTACCGTGTACCGCCGACACGCATTCAGATGTACCGCCCTCCACGCAACGCAAAGACAGTGGGCTGCGAAACTGTTGTGTTCCGTACGTCGGGATATGGTTGTCGCCTCCTCTCCATTTCTCTCCATCTACCGCCTCTGCAGTTTGTCATTGTGCACTGTTAACTTACTGAACAGGGAAGACGACATGTCGCTTCTCCATGGCCCACTTCACCCAGGCCTGTCGTGTATCGACGACTGGGGATGGTCCGAATCCCATAATGATGCCCCGTCTGCTGCAGGTACCGGACCAGCAAGGAGTGGGGCCCCGTCCGTGCCACGGATTATGCAAAGTTCACGGAGTGTATGACCTTAGCACCGTATTCCCACGTTGTGATAGGCGGTCCTCCTTTGTCGTCGCCGATGACGACTGTTCACGGGTTCAGAATTGGGCTAGGCAGTGCGGATGAGCACACTCTCCGGCAGCGTCTGAGAATGCGTGCAATGGCTATGGCCGATGGGCTGACCCCTCCCATGGACGAATGGGCAGTGGGTGGCTATGAGACCTCTCCGCCTCGTAATGCAGGAAGCCAGCATGGTAGTCCCGGTCCGTCGACTGTTAGTTCTCTCAACATTGACATAATGTCGTCCCAGCAGTCAGGTGCTCCCACTGCAATCTCGCCGGTTGGCCACGAGAGTCATCGCGTGTCAATGGAACCGTTGTGTGATGGTGCTCTTAGGCAGCAGCTCAGTCCGCATGCCGTGTCGTTTGATTATGTCCTCATGTGACGAACCACTTCCCG